AACAACAACAACAGCTGTGCTTAAAAGAACTCTGGTAGCATAGTGGTTTCGAATCGGGCTGCTAATTTCACAGTCAGAAGTTCGAAACTACCAGCTGTTCAGCGGGAGTAAGATCAGGCTTTCTGGTACCATAAAGATTTACAGCCTCAGCAACCCTGTATATGAGTCACTATAAGTAGGAACCAACTCTATGGCACATGATAAATACAAGACCCCATGCTTAATTAGGTTTAATGAAACATTGTGATGCCTTGGACAAGGTATGTTTTGCCTCAGAAAAATCACTAAGACCCCTTCCTCTTCCACGCTCAACTGACCAAAAGGGAAATGAAATCAACAAATGGACTTCTTGACAAAGACCTCACTGTTGACAAAGACCTATACCTTGTTGATTTGCATAGCACTCCCCCAGAAACCACAAACCTCTCAGGAGTTTCTTTTAAGGGTCACTCATTAGAGGACCCAGTGCTTAGCTCAGGGGAGTGTTCAGCCTTCATTATGGGTTTCCAAGTCAACATTGTCACCTTCTTGCTGCTCAGTGTCACAGGTAAGAAAGAGAAAAAAAAAACTTTAAAATCATAACACTCTTTCTGATGAAGTTTGATTCTAAAGTAGGTGGGTTTTTTTCTAAAAATTAAGTTTTAAAGTAAATCTAATAAGTTATTAAAATGTTTTTGTATTCCTACTTCTGCTAACTTATGTTGCTGTTCATATTTCTTGTATGATCACAGGATCCAGTGGAGATATTGTGCTGACCCAGTCTCCAGCTTCCATGGCATTTTCCCCAGGAGAGAGAGTCACCATCAGCTGCAAAGCCAGCTCAAGTGTAAGCACTAACAGTTTACACTGGTACCAACAGAAGCCAGAAGCGAGTCCAAAGCTCCTTATTTATGGTACATCCAACCTGGCCTCTGGGGTCCCTGGCCGGTTCAGTGGCAGTGGCTCAGGGACAGATTACTCTCTGACCATCAGCAACATCCAGGCAGAAGATACAGGAATCTACTACTGTCAGCAGGGGTATAGCTATCCACCCACAGTGTTAGAGACTGGAACAAAAACCCCCCTTAATACTTAGGAGCCAGATACCTCATTTTTAGAGGCTGTGAGAGATATAGTCACTGTTTCCTGTGTCTGACAGGGTCTCATGGGACTCTCTAGGGTAGTCTGAGGTTACTAGACTGTCTAAGACTTTTGGTCATTACAAGCAAGTGAAAAATCAAGGTTTCAGGGAGAAACAGATTCTCAAAAGGCTACAATTTTGAAAGCCTATTCAAATAGTATAGAAAAAGATGCAGGTGGGATCAAACTTGTCCAAAAAGAGCACTAATCATCTAGTAGATTGGTTTTTAAGAATCTTCTCCATAAACAAGTAGGCAGAGCTTACCGTAGAACTTTCATCTCATCACAGGAACATGATGATGCAGCCACACAGGCCCTGACAGGATTCTAGGCTTCCTTTGATTGAAATGCTACCCTGTCTGAAGGACTCCTAGGTGAAAGTCAATACTTCACTTATGAAAATCAAGGTTGAAATTCATGTTTGAATACTATATAATATCTTAATCTTTATAAAATCTGACACGATGAACCAAAATAATTCTATAAGAATGTAACGTAATGTCCAGTTTGGTTGTTTTCTTACATTTTTGTACCTTATCTATTGTTTCTACCTCCTTTCCAGAGATTATAAAACTCATTGATTGTTGTTGTTGTTAGATGCTGTTGAGTTGGTTCTGACTCACCACAATCACATACACAACAGACAAAATGCTGCCTGCTTCTGCTCCAGCTTCACAATTGTCCTAGGGCTCATTGCAGTTGCCACTGTGCCACTCCATCACCTTAGGGGACTTCCTCTTTTTTCATATATCCTCCACTTTAACAAGTATGATGTCTTTCTCCAGGGATTGATATCTCTTGATAATATGTTCAAAGTATGAGACATGAAGTCTCGCCATCTTTGCTTGTAAGGATCATCCTAACTGTACTTCTTACAACACAGATTCGTTACGCCGGCAGTGCGTGGTACATTCAGTAATTTTCCCCAACACCATGAGTCAAGTGCAACAATTCTTTTACGGTCTTCCCATGCTTATGAGGCAATTAAAAACATCATGGTTTAGATCAGGTGGACCTTAATCTTCAAGCATCTTTTCTCTTGAAAAATTTTAAAAGGTCATATGCAGCAGATTTCCCCAAAGCAATACTTCATTTGATTTCTTGAATGCTGCTTTCCTGCGAGTTTATTGTGGATATCCAAGCATAATGAAGTCTCTGACGACTTCAATCTTTTCTCCATTTATCATGATGGTATTTATTGATCCTGTGGTGAGGATTTTTTTTTACCCCTCACATTGAAGTGCAACCCATATGGAAGGCTGTGGTCTTTTTCTTCATTAGTAAGTATTTTCAGTCCTTTTTCTGTCAGCAAGTAAAGTTGTATTATCTACATATCATGGAATGGTAATGAGTCTTCCTATAATCCTGATGCCAAATTCTTCTTCATTTAATTCAACTTCTCAGATTTTTTGCTCAGTTACAGGTTGAGTTAATATGATGAAAGAATACCACCATGGTACAAATCTTGCCTGATTTTAAAAATATTAAGCATCTCTTTTTTCTTTCTTTTTGAATGATTGTCTCTTGGTTCTCATATAGGTTTCTAATGATCACAAATAAAGGTTCTGGAATACCAATTCTTCACAATGCTATCTGTAGTTTTTCATGACCCACACAGTCAAAAACCTTTCCACAGTCAATAAAGGAAAAGTAAGCATATTTCTGATATTATCTGCTTTCTGCTAGGAACCACCAGACATAAGCAATGATATCCTTATTTTCATATCCTTTTCTGAATCTGATTTCAGTTTCTGGGAGTTCTGTTAAATTATTTTCATAATAATTTTTTAATTATCAGCAAAATTTTACTTGCTTGTGTTGTTAAAGACTTTTTTTTTTTAAATTATTCCTACATCCTGTTGCATAGCATCTCTGTGGAATAGGCACAAATAATGGATCTTTTACAATGGTTGGCCAGGTTTCTTGTCAAAGAAAATTTTCTTGTCAAAAATTTCTTCCAAATTTCTTGTCAAAGATGAGTGAGCACCTCCAGTGCTTCATAAGTCTGTTGAAATTTTTCAGTTTGTATTCCCTCAATGCTACATTCTTGTTATTTTGCCACTACCTTCAGTGCAGTCTAGACATCTTTCTTCTGTTTCTTGGGTCCTTGATCATATGCTACCTCATGAAATGGTTGAGCACAACCATTTTTGTTTGCTTGTTTTGGTAAAATCATTCTGTATATTACTTCCTGTTGCAGACCATGTGTAGACCTTACAGGCCGCAGGTGCTGAGGAACAAATGAGGCCACTGGCAGTTAATGGCAAATTGTTTTTCATCTTCGTGTTCAGTTATATTTATTTAATTCCAAACATGAGCCCTTAATGTCCACAGATAAATGTGATATTTTCCTAAAAGCCCAGACTGTAAAGATTGCAAGGTCAAGCCTTCCTCCAAAGGATTAACTAAAAATATCTTAGCTACTTCACAGTTCTTTGTTCTACAGACAAAAAAACCATCTTCCCTGAATCTCTCCCAAGTGCAAGTTATTCAGCTAAGTTCCTGAAAACCTGGCTCAGGAAGCCAAAACAACGGGACTCCACCCAAGCTTTTGTCCTTACCTCTCACCTTCCCCCAACTGAGCTCAGGAGCTATAGCTATGTTAATTGAGCCTGAGTAACCAAGTTGCGGGCCTGGGATTCGAACCAGCGAAGTACGATGTAAAGTTACCTGAATGTCTAGAAAATTACTGATACTAGCTGTATCCTGTTTTAGTCCCTCCCAGCTTGGTGTGAAGCTCCTCCCATAAATAAAACAGAGGCCCAGGCCAGCCCAGGTGTCCATTACAGGTTGGAGGGCATGCAGTAAAGATTGTAGGGCAGTGAGTTGCTGCCTGCAGAGGCCGCGAAGCCTGTAGTCCCAAGTCTGCCCACCAGTGATGCATCCACCCTGGTTTCAGGGTGCCTCATTGTCCCCCTTTTTCTGTCTGTCTGTGTATTCTTTCGCTATCCCCATCGCCACCTGATATCCCCTCCTTGTGAACCAAACATTCGTGAACCAAATTCCTATGTCGAGGACAGTCCCTGACAACTTCCAACTTCTTTTAATGCTCTCAGTATCATTCAGTATTTTCCCCATAGAATCTCTCAATACTGTAAGTCGAGGTGTGAATGTTTTTCTTAGGTTCTTTCAGGTTGAGGAATGCTGGATGTTCTTCCCTTTTGGCTTTGTAACTACATGTCCTTGCACATTTCATTACAGTTGACATTGTCTTCTCAAGCTGCTCTCTGAATTTTCCTGCTCACCTCTTTTACTTCCTCATTTATTCCTTTCACTTTATCATCTCTATGCTGGAGAGCAAGTTAAAGAGTCTCTTCTGACATCCATTTTTATCTTTTTTTTCCCTTCCCTGTCTTTCTTCCTGTATTCTCTTCTTGTCATCCTTCCCTCCTCTGGTATATGTTCATTAGGGTCTAATGCTTCAAATATCTTCTTGAGATTGCCTCTAAACTCATGTCAGATATGTTCAGGTTCATATTCTGGCTCTCAAGGACTTGTAATTGTCTTCAGCTTTAGCCTGAACTTGTAGAAAAGCAATCAGTGGTCTGTTCCACAGTCTGCACCTCACATTTGTTTGGCTGATATATTGAACATTTCCACTGGCCATATTCACAGATGTCAT